CTCATAGAAACATATAAAATCCTGATGGGACTGGACAGGCTAGATGCAGGAAGAATGTTGCTCATGTTGGGGAATTCCAGAACTAGGATCACAGTCTAAGAATAAGGGGTATGCCATTCAGGACTGAGATGAGGAAGAATTTCTTCACGCAACAGAGTTGTGAACCTGTGAAATTCTCTCTCAAAGGAAGCTGTTGGAGCAAGTTCATTAGATATATTCAAGAGGGAGCTGGACATGGCCCTTGCGACTAAAGGAACCAAGGGATATGTGGAGAGAATGGGAATGGGATATTGAGATTGCATGATCAGCCATGATTGTATTGAATGGTGGTGTCGGCCCGAAGGGCCAAATGGCCTACTCCTGCACCTATTTTCTATGTTTCATGCTGAGGGCTGCAGGAGCATGTAAATGATGTCACTAAGGAATCGGCTATTGAAACTTTTAAGGGAAAAGGAATTAATCTTCCAAGGAGGGTCGAATACCCTGGGAGGGTTGGAGGCGGGGAGTAGTTTGTGGTGGACAGAATGGAACAACAGGTTTTAGTTCTGGGTTGCTCCAGCAAAGCATCACATAATGTGATGTCAACTTTTTATGGATTTATGTGAATGGCATCAATTGAAGTTTCTATCCTTTTGTTGCTCTTAATGAGTAACAATGTTATTTCATTCATATGGACAGTGCTGCTCAAAGTTCAAAATGAAAAGAAAAATGAACACTATTGTCTTGCAAATGTAAACAAGCACAATTTTTGTGTGGAGCATTACCCCTTGAAGAGGCATTATATAAACTTCAATACTATTTAGTGAGACTTGCACTGTAAATAATAAATGTTAAATTGCATCAATTTTATAGCACATTTGCACAATTGGACAATTCTCACTACACATAATGAAGCCACAATTAAATTCTTGCTAAAAAAATTTGCAATGAGTATTTGCCAACCTCCTTTAAGGAGCTATAGTTAAATCAAATTGACTATGAAGTCCCAAAAAGTCTTAAAAGTTTTTATTGACTCATCTGAATAAAGCTATTAATGTTTAAAAATTAGTACAAGTCACTAGAAAGTCGCAACAAACTCTTCAGTGACTGGATTAATTCTCCCTCACTAAAATTCTTTAAATATCTAATAAATACAGCAACATGGCAGTGCCCTATAGCAACAATATACTGACATCAGTTTAAATTTTTAAGGTATCTGAAAAAGTATTATACAGGGTTAAAAACTGTCTGTAAAAACATATATTCAGTATAATCAGTTAATATGCAAGCTCAACTTTCTCAACAGGATAAATCTGTTGAGAGAAAAGGCTTTGAATTGTTCTGCAGTATGAAGTTTGCACAGCTCTGAATAAATTTGATTTCAAACAGTCTGAAGAAAGATCTGCAGCACTTTGAAACTATCAGCTGCACCTAACCTGGATGCCAAAACGAAAAATCAACACGAGAGCCTGTTCAGCAGCTTAAGTTAATTTTTACAAGGTTCCATTGCAGATATCGAATTTACTACGAAAATAGCATTTGGAAGAGATTGTAGAGTTCAGTCTGAGCCATGCATCAAATATTCAGCAGTCCAGTGACCTACAACCATTCCTCCACATTATATCATCTTGGACTCTCTCAATATGGAGGCCCTTAGTTTCTATTTACTTAGCAAATCCTTTTAAACTAAGACAGTCTCATAAATAAAGAAAAAAATGCTCAGGTTTAAAAGGCATTAAAGATGGAATTTCCTCTCCCCCAGGCACCAATAGTATAGAATTATATATGCATAATATAGAAACATACTACAGTGCAACATGCCTGGCATTATCTAAGTTCTATAGGTGATGCAGCCACAACAGCCCAAATTTCCTGGAAGGTTTCAGCACATAAAAGTGTCACAGCGCTTTATCTGATGAAATTTGCACACAACCGGTTCAAGGCAGTTTTAAATTGAAGCATTTTGAAGGGCAAATTTCTTTGATTATTGCCCATTTCTTCCCAGATACATGGCTGAAACCATCTGCCTCTCATTAACATTATTCATCCAAATTTAGAAATTTGAGGAGGACCAATGTGCTGGCATAGAATTACATCCATAGATTTGCGTGCACCACGATTAAAATAATCTGATGCCAGCAGAATTTATGGACGTTGACAGTGATTTTCTTGCAAAAGCCACCCTTTAACTCAAGCACAGTGCAGTCAGTCTCAGTGTAGTCAAAATTTATAGATGTCCAACACCAGCCATCACCAATTCCTACACTGAGGAGGAGGAATGATCTTCCCAACAGGCATAGTCTTGTTCTGCATAATAATGGAGCAGCAGAGGCTTTATGTTAGGTAGAAGATAGCAGATCACTCGCTTGTACAACTGCATGTGTGCCAGTTTACGCCAGCTGAAGAATATGATCTCACCAGGAAATTTCAGAAAAGTCCCCATTGGCAAGACCACAACAGAAATGTGTAAAGTTGGTCATAATTTCTCCACAAATGTGATCCAGGAAATTTGGGAAGATTCATGTCAGCAGGCTCCAGCTCTAACTTCAAGCATGAAATGGCTTTCAATGTTTCTCTAGCCCTAAACTGCAAGAGGATGCAAAAAAAAAATGCACGTAGTCTCCAATTAATCAACTGCATAAGCACAAAAAAATTGTGCCTTTTTTTTGCAACTGCACAGCTACTAGGCTAGGTTACATTGGTAAAAAAAGGTTACTTGGCCTTTTATTTGGTCAAAAAGTCATAGGCCATAAAGATATGTTTTCTTTCAATAAAATACCAGGTTCTGAAAACTTATAAATTTCCTATTCACATAAAAAGTAGTCAGAGATAACTGGCTTTCAAAATCATATGAACACCAAGGTAATTTATAAATCTTTCCAGATTCTCTGTTTCACTATGATTGACAAAGTCCTTTACAGTTGGTAATAAATATAGAAGCTAGAAAGACATCACAGGTCAAGCAGAATCGTTTCAGAGAGAAACACGGGTCTAATGAAAAGGTAATTGGCCCGAAATGTTACTACTATGTTTCTCTCTCCACAGACGTTGACGGACCCGTTTAGTGATGCTAGCAATATGCTGTTCATATTGCAGATTTCTAGCATCTGCAGTAATTTGCATTCACCCTCCCCTCCCCTTTTATGTTGAGTACTTGGTCACATGGTGCAAAAGCTGAAGAATCAAAACTGGGAAATCAAAATCGAACTGAGAAACGCTCCTTTGCTGCAGTTTAAAAATTCAGCATGTTTACAAAGGTGTGCTTTTTGCTGCCACAAGCCAGCAACAATATCCTCCAGGAACTCTCCAGGCCAGGTGCAGTTACTTTCTACTCTCTTGGATTCCTGTGGGTCACATTTATCACAATGATTTGTTAATATCTAACCTGCATATTATTAGCAGAGCTCACAGAAAGAGAAAAAAAACCCACCCAAACAAACCCGTATTTCTTTTCTAAGAGTCTCTGCTGCAAAAATATGGAGCAAAAATCCTGCGGAGCTACATATTCAGAATTTCTTGCACTAATTGTATTAATCTGAAGATAGTAGTCTGCACCACTCAGCTACCTAATTACTGGTCACTCAGAAAAACAATTACATAACAAATCATCAAAGATGTCAAATTGTTAGCTGTGACACAGTACAAGTTAAATTAATGGTTGCAACACAATTCGTTAAAACTTGTACGAACAGATTGGCTACACGGTTACCATTCATGCAAAAATTAAACAGACCGCATGCCAAAGAATATATAAATAAGAAGGCATGTGGCATGCGGAGCACACATTACCTCCAAACAGCCTTTGTTTCAATATAGAAGCAAATTCCCCATATGGCCCCTAAAAATAGAACATACATATATATCTATACATATATATACACATTTAAGATGTGTTAGGGCTCAGATTTCACATTTCAGTCACTTATTTCACATTTTGCTTAAAACAGCACTTTGCACAAGTTAGAACTGATGACACTACAACACAGTTAAATTTTGAGGAGCTAAAAAATAAATCTTTAATTTTCACCCCCATTTCAAACTGATTTCCTTTCTTTTCAGGCCTTATTCTTGCACTTACAATAAGCATTTAACGGTAAAAGATGTGCACCCATGCCCTCCATCAATCATTTGATCAAAGCATACCATCCACCTTGGAGTGTTTAGGGGAACAGAGACAAAGAGTTTGGAGTTTATGGAAGAACTACAAATAGAACAGGTAGCCGTGCGTGATTCCCATGTTGGGCCACAATGAAGTAGCAATCGGACAAGTACAAAGTCAGAGTCTGAAAGAATTAAAAGCAAAATAGTGCTGGTTCTAAAGCTAGATATTGCAAGTAATTCAAGATGAGAAATCTGAGCTGTCTGCACACTTCGTTTGCATATGTAATGTCCAGTATAGATCTGTTTGTACAGTAAAGTTTCTTAGTTTTGAATTCAGTCTTTAGGAAAGGTAAACACGTCAAACACTTCGTACCTTGCAGGATCTGCAGTAGAGAAATATCTGCAAATGTTCTTTGAAAAGTGCACCCAATAACATTTATGTACAGCGACAATTCTTTCACACTTTAAAAAAAAGACACAGAAAAGTAAATAAAAGCCCTTTGAGTGCCAGGCTATTGAGATTCTATTTTTCCCAGAAATGCATATTTTTAAATTATTTAAAAATAATTCCTTCTTCTACCTTTTTCCAATACATGAATATTGTGGAATTTACATATGAAAACGGGCCACTTAGCCTAATTGGTTTGTGTCTGTGTTCATGGTCCGCATGAGCTTCCTTCAACCTTTCTCCCTTTGAACTCATCAGCACATCATTCCAGGAGATAGCAAGAACTGCAGATGCTGGAGTCAGAGTCAATACAGTGTGGAGGTGGAGGAACACTACTATTCCTGCGATGCTGCCTGACCTGCTAAGTCCAGGACTGATGAAGAGTGTAAACCTGAAATATCGACTTTCCTGCTTCTCTGATGCTGCCTGATCTGCTGTGTTCCTCCAGCTCCACACTATATTAACAGCATATCATTCTACCCCTCCCTCACTCCTGAACTTACCTAACCTCCCCTTAAAGTCATAGTTCCTATTCAACTCAATTGTTCAATGTGGTAGTTAGCTTCCTCCATGAATTCCTGATTGGATTTTTAGTTATTGTCATGTTTATGAAAGTAAGTTTGGATTTCTCAGCGAAAAGCTATCAATTGATGCCAGAGGAAGTATGGAACGACATCTAATTTCTTCATATATATGTGTGCTTTGGAATACGTTAAAAGCACCAAACATTTCAGGCATTTTGGAGGGGCACACATTAAAAAAAAACCTGTGCCCCTCAGACAATCAAGTATGATTAAAAGCATGAGCATTTTTTTTTAAATTGTGAAAGGGTGACTGTAGCAGCTTAATCGGAGAACTGAAAGATACTGTCTGGGTTATTGCTGTCTGCTGGATTGTTGGGCTGTAGTTTCGTGGTTGGTGTAGTTTTTCCATGGGATTGAGAGGAGGAAGAGTGGGAACTTTCACTAGAGCTGCTCCGCGTTTCAGTACTAGTGCTGGTTTTCTTCATCTTGCGTCTTTTCGCCAGAGGTGCCTTGTCCACATTCTGAAGGCAAAAGCCTTCCCTCTTGCATTTGTTGAAGGCCTAAGCAGAGATCAAATTAAGTGAGAGACAGAGTGAATGTGTAGATAGTGTTACGAAGCAGAGGTCAATCACCCCCTCTGATAACTAAAACCGAAACACCAAGAGAAGCTCACTCTCGCCTCATACTTTGTTAAAGGAAGTGTGAAAAGTGGTATAACCTGACTCTCACTGTCGCCTCCCCACTCAAATCTGTTATAAAGGAGTGGTTAAATGAAAGAAATCCCTGATACTCACCTTATAATCAACAGGTAACAATTTATTTATCTACCTCTAACTGTAAACAAATTACAGAACTACCAACAAATGAAACAATTCCCCCTTAACCATTAACTGTTCCTGAATAAAACAAAATTCTAATAGTATGCTGTTCCAATAGATACGAGTCCCACTTACATAAACCAAATTTTTAAAAAAATGTAATCTCTTGAAAAAACAGCCAGGATAAGTCTTCTGGAATGTTCTTTGCCTTCTCCACTGTCCTCCAGTCAGGAACGCCTCCCTCCATCGAATTCTTGTGTCAGAAATGTTAGCTAAGAGTGCCGCTGTACCTTTAGTCAGATGATGGTTTTCTGAGACCTTAGGGAATTCTGTGAGAGCCAGTGATTTTCTCTTTCTTTAGAGCTGATGGCTATTGATAGCTGTTCTCTTAACAGTTGGCAGTTGCTATCACATTGATTTTCAAATGCCCTCTTCTTTTATACCTTTAATGACCTATTAATTTCTTACATTAGGATTGGTCCTAGGCTGTTAAAACCATCAGATTTTAAATTTTTTTGGGTTTTGGTATCTAGGGCCTGGTTTAAATTAATTGGCGAAATTCAATAACCTGTATCCTTGGTAAAAATGCTGCTTTGCCTGCTAACAGTATAGTCTTTTGATACAATGTTTCGATTTCAAAAACTCTCTGTGCATTTGCTGCTGCCTACAAAAACATATCATCTTTTAAAGGGGCCACACACTCTTCCCCCCTACCATTTTACAAACATCAAATTTTAACATCCTGCTTTCCAATCCACAAATACTCTATTCAACTTCGCAACAATAGTCACATCAAAAACAAGTACAGCAACAACAACTCACATTTATGTAATGCCTTTAATAAAATAAAACATCACATGGTACTTCACAGTGGAAAATAATTTGACACTGATCACATAAGACTGACTAGGTCATAGAACATAGAAATTAGAACATTATAGCGCAGTACAGGCCCTTCGGCCCTTGATGTTGCGCCGACCTGTGAAACCAATCTGAAGCCCATCTAACCTAAACTATTCCATTATCATCCATATGTTTATCCAATGACCATTTAAATGCCCTTAAAGTGGGCGAGTCTACTATTTTTGCAGGCAGGGCATTCCACGCCCTTACTACTCTCTGAGTAAAGAACCTACCTCTCACATCTGTCCTATATCTATCACCCCTCAATTTAAAGCTATGTCCCCTCGTGCTAGCCATCATCATCCGAGGAAAAAGGCTCCCACTGTCCACCCTATCTAATCCTCTGATCATCTTGTATGTCTCTATCAAGTCACCTCTTAACCTTCTTCTCTCTAACGAAAACAGCCTCAAAACCCTCAGCCTTTCCTCATGAGACCTTCCCTCCATACCAGGCAACATCCTGGTAAATCTCCTCTGCACCCTTTCCAATGCTTCCACATCCTTCCTATAATGCGGTGACCAGAACTGTACACAATACTCCAAGTGCGGCCGCACCAGAGTTTTGTACAGCTGCAACATGACCTCATGGCTCCGAAACTCAATCCCTCTACCAATAAAACCTAACATACTGTACGCCTTCTTAACAACGCTATCAACCTGGGTGGCAACTTTCAGTGATCTATGCACATGGACACCGAGATCTTTCTGCTCATCCACACTACCAAGAATCTTACCATTAGCCCAGTACTCTGTATTCCTGTTACTCCTTCCAAAGTGAATCACCTCACACTTTTCCGCATTAAACTCCATTTGCCACCTCTCAGCCCAGCTCTGCAGCTTATCTATGTCCCTCTGTAACCTGCAACATCCTTCCGCACTATCCACAACTCCACCGACTTTGGTGTCATCCACAAATTTACTAACCCATCCTTCTACGCCCTCATCCAGGTCATTTATAAAAATGACAAACAGCAGTGGCCCCAAAACAGATCCTTGAGGTACACCACTAGTAACTGAACTCCAGGATGAACATTTCCCATCAACCACCACCCTCTGTCTTCTTACAGCTAGCCAATTTCTGATCCAAACCGCTAAATCACCCTCAATCCCATGCCTCCGTATTTTCTGCAATAGCCTACCATGGGGAACCTTATCAAATGCTTTACTGAAATCCAAATACACCACATCAACCGCTTTACCCTCATCCACCTGTTTGGTCACCTTCTCGAAGAACTCAATAAGGTTTGTGAGGCACGACCTACCCTTCACAAAACCGTGTTGACTATCCCTAATCAAATTATTCCTTTCTAGATGATTATAAATCCTATCTCTTATAATCCTTTCCAACACTTTACCCACAACCGAAGTAAGGCTCACTGGTCTATAATTACCAGGGTTGTCTCTACTCCCCTTCTTGAACAAGGGGACAACATTTGCTAGTCTCCAGTCTTCTGGCACTATTCCTGAAGACAATGACGACATAAAGATCAAAGCCAAAGGCTCTGCAATCTCCTCTCTAGCTTCCCAGAGAATCCTAGGATAAATCCCATCTGGCCCAGGGGACTTATCTATTTTCACACCTTCCAGAATTGCTAACACCTCCTCCTTATGAACCTCAATCCCGTCTAGTCTAATAGACTGTATCTCAGTATTCTCCTCGACTACATTGTCTTTTTCCTGTGTAAATACTGACGAAAAATATTCATTTAGCACCTTCATTCATGTGGCCAAAAGCATGGTCAAAGGCAAAGTTTTTAAGGAGAGTCTTAAAGGAGGAGAAAATGCCAAGAGGTTTAAGGAGGAAACCTCTGTATATAGGTCAGCAACAGCTGAAGGAACACTGTCAACACTGAAGGCAGCCTGTGCTGGAATGAGGGAGACAGTGTATAAGACAAAGGAAATTTGCGATGTGCAAGAATTGGAGGAAAGCAGAGTTCTTGTGTGGCTATAAGTGGTTACAGATGTAGGGAGGCACAAGGGAAATTAGGAAGATGAACAAGGATGAGATCGTAAGTCAGAGTACATATGCCCTCTGTTGAAACCTCTTCATATTTGTTTCTGCAATAACTAAAGCACTGGCAGTCAATTCCTTCATCCTACTAATAATGTCTATCTGTTTCCCCTTTGCAAAGCACCTAGGTAGGGTATTGTTTATTAAAGGAACGATGTAAATTCTATGTCATAGACAAATTACGATCATAATGAAAAGGAAATCAGAAAGCATTTCCTTACATGAAATGTTGCTTTGACATACGTGTGGACAGAAACACCTGAAGAACCAAGAACGTCTGGGGTCATTAGTGGGTTGGATGATAACTGGCTGCTGTCCTGAAGCCATTCATTGAAACGGAGGCTCGACATTTTAATCCGTTTGTTTGGATCAACAGTTAGCAGTCCTGCAAGTGAAAAATACAGATTTTACATGCAAATCACTCTATGCTGCCACATGATACGGTGAGGTGAGATATACTGCCGATCTACCATTATCACACAGTTACACTTATGTCAGCTCCTGTAACACAAAGACAAGCTGTCGGCTATGTAGTACTAAAAAATTCAATTAACTTTTATTACATCTCCTGGTATTTACGTACATACACTACAATCACAGGACTTGCATGTCTGGGCTCAACCGAATTAATTCATAGCACGTTTCCCTCAACTTGTGATGCTTTAAGAGGACAGAGCTCAGTAAGACGGAGACTGAGAGCTTTACACCATGAGGTCACATGCCATGACATCCGAGCATATTCCTTAAAAGAATATTGCATATCCGCTATAAGGCATAACACAACAACATAACTTAACCTTGTCTAATCAAATTGATCAGGTCCAGAATTCTGTTTGGCACTTAACAATGAGAAATTTTAAAAAACATTTGAAATAAATTTCTTGTTTTCTCTCTCCAACACCCAAAATGAGCAGCATTTACTGTGGTACAGTTCTGCAGAAGCCCAAATAGCTCTCCTTCACATCTCAAAGGTGGGGTTGACAGGTAGGGGGGATGGCCAGGATGGTTTGTCTGTGAGGAAGCATCTAGGGAAGCTCCATTTACTATAATAAGGCTTTAGCTATTTGAAGCCAGAGTGAACCCTAGGATATTCTCACTTTTTTTTGATTCAATATCAATATTTACATTCCACTCAGTGACATTTTAGAAACAAATCAACATTTTATATTAAAATCTAAGATTAAAATCCAACTTCAACAGGATCTAAAGAGTGATCGGGGGAGAGGCCTAGGCTAGAAAAAGACAATTATGCCTGCTCTTACCTTGAATCAATTCCTTAGCCTCTTGTGAGATGTTTTCACTCGGCAGTGGGCTAGTGGTATTATCACTTGACTGTTAATCCAGTCAATGTTCCGGGGATCCGGGCTTGAATCCCGCCATGGCAGATGGTGGAATTTGAATTCAATAAAAACAAATCTGGAATTAAAAGTCTAATGATGACCATGGATCCATCGCTGATTGTCAGGAAAAAAACCCACTGGTTGACTAGTGGCCTTTAGGAAAGGAAACTATCAGCCTTACCTGGTCTGGCCTATATGTGACTCCAGACTCACAGCAATGTGATTGACTCTTAACTGCCCTCTGGGCAATTAGGGATGTGCAATAAATGCCGGCCTAGCCAGCGACATCTTTATCCCATTAATTTAAGAAAAAGACTATTATACCTGCCCTTACCTTGAATCAATTCCTTGGCCTCTTCTGAGACGTTTCTCCAAGCTTCACCTTCAAAAGAAAAGTCCCCTTGTTTTATTTTCCTCATGATTTCTTCAGCACTGGTGGATGTTAATGTCTTTTCCTCACACTGGAATGGTACTTTCCCTGATAACATGGTATACTGCCAGAGGAAACAACAATCAGACATGAAAATACACTGAGAGGAGAAATATTTGCTTAGCCACAGCATATGTACTTAGGGCCTTAGGTCCATAACTTTTCATTTAATGCAAAGCACTATCTTTAAAAAAAAACTGCATAGCAAGTATTAAAAGCTATTACTTAAGACAATAAGCTCTCCTACAAATACAATGATCCAGGTTCACCAACATTAACTTTGTAGAATGGAGGTTCTCATTATTCTCTCACCAAGTTACTAAATCTAGAGATTTAAGGGCCCATAACTCCTGCAGAGAAGGTGACCAGGGTCATAAGAACATAAGAACTAGGAGCAGGAGTAGGCCATCTGGCCCTTCGAGCCTGCTCCGCCATTCGTGGACTCCGATCCACTTACCCGCGTTCTCACCGTATCCCTTAATTCCTTTATTGTTCAAAAAAAATCTACCTTTTTTTTTAAAAACATTTACTGAAGTAGCCGTCAACTACTTCACTGGGCAAGGAATTCCACAGATTAACAACCCTCTGGGTGAAGAACTTCCTTCTCAATTCAGTCCTAAATCTGCTCCCTCTAATCTTGAGGCTATGCTCTCTTGTCCTAGCTTCACCTGCCAGTGGAAACATCCTCTCTACTTCTATCTTATCTATTCCCTTCATAATTTTATATGTTTCTATAAGATCCCCCCTCAATCTTCTGAACATAGTAACTCAAATGTTCTGAGCTGCCACTGATTGCATCTCCAGTAGTAACTGATGTGCTCACTTGAGCAGCTTTCAGTGGGATGGATGCTAAGGGAGGAATTTCATACACCCCCATACTGCAGCCTTTGCTGTCACACGATGTTCTTTGCCTGGGTGGAACAGGATTGAAAAATTACTTTGTGTTCCCTTGCTTTTGGTTTCCTGGTAAAGATGAAACAAATCTGGCAATTTTATGGCTGTATTATGAACCACCTGCTGATCAGGCTGAAAGGGGCAGAACTCTGGTAGGCTTACAATTCGCCCCAATTCCATCCCTCCTGTTTTCTCCTGCTTCAGGAATTAAAGAGTCTGATGCTTTTTAAGGAAAGTAGTACACCAACATTCAAGAAATGGTGACTTAATGAATTATGATAAATAGGGGAATACATTGGTATAGGTTGGTAACAAGGGAACACAAAAGTTAAGGTTATTATAAAAGAATGATGTGGGGGTTTGGGATTTTTTTTGACACAGGAGATTGCTGAGATATGAAATATCCTACTACAAAGAAAGGTGAATAAAAAAATCCATCCTTAAGCTCAAAGTACGGTCTCTGATCTGAAGAAGTAAATTATGAAAGTATGGGGAAAAGTTGACCATGATGAATGGGATAATGGCTAGTATTTTTAAAAAAAATGCTACATGGTTCAGAACAGATACACACTTCTTGATAGTACAAACTCACAAAAGAAAATCCTAGTTAATGAAAAACACTAAACATTGCATTAAATCAAAGGAAGTGGCTTATAAGGATGCTAGAAAAGGTGTTAAGCTGAAGAATTGAGAACAATTTAGAACACAGCGAGAAGATCAAGAAACCGTTTTGAAAAGGGAAGACAGAACATGTATACAAACTAGCAAGGAACATAAAGACAAATTGTAAAAGTTTCTTTATATTAAAAAGGAAAAGATTAGCTAGGGCAAATTTTGTCCATTATCAGTGGGGATAACAGAACTTCTAGTGGAGCACAGGGAAGTTACTCGGTGTCTGTCTTCCCAAAAGAAGACACAGAAAATCTCCCAGAAATATGAGGCAACTGAGGGACTTGTGATTTCCGATGAAGGGTCTAGGCCCGAAACGTCAGCCTTCCTCCTGCTATGATGCTGCTTGGCCTGCTGTGTTCATCCAGCTCTACACCTTGTTATCTCAAGGGACTTGTGAAATTGAGGAACGAAAAGAATTTTACTTGAGAAGTTAAATGATTGAAGGTGGATAAATTCCCTGAACTTCATATCAGAGTGTCATTGAGGCTAGGGAGATACTGAAAGCATTGGTAGTTATCTTTCAAAATTCTATAGATTCTGGAAAAGTAACAAAAGTAATCCTACTATTTAAGAAGGGAAGAAGAGGGAGAATGGAAAGTTAAAGACATTTAGTTTGACACCGTAGAGAAAATGTTAGAATCTATTATACAGGATGTCACAATTGGACATTTAGGAAACAGTCATCATGGATTTATGAAAAGGAAATCATGTTCAACAAACCCGATTTTTTTTTGAGGATATTATTTGTACTATTGATAAAACAGAACCAGTGGAAGTGGTATATTTGGCATGAACTGGTTGGACCAAAGGGTCTGTTTCCGTGCTGTATGACTCTACGACTCTATTTGGATTTTCTGAAGGCTTTTGATAAGGTCCGACAAAGCAGGTTAGTAAATAAATTTATAGTACATGGGATTTGGGGAAATATACTAGCATGGATTGAGAATTGGTTAATAGATAGAAAACAGAGAGTAGAATTAAACAGATTATTCTCAGGATGGCAGGCTGATAGTAGTGGGGTACCGCAGGGATCAGCACTAGGTCTATAGAAACAATTTGTCTGTGGGATCCAGTTGTAATGTTTCCAAATTTGCTGATGACTCAAACTCGTTGGAGGTTGTAGGTAAATTGTGAAGAAAATACAAGGAGGTTTAAACAGAAATTGGGCAAGTTAAGGAACAGGACAGGGAGCGAGGAATGCCTATTGGAGTAAATTGCATCTATTTCAATGCAAGAGGGCTGGTAGGTAAAACTGATGAACTCAGGGCATGGATAGGTACGTGGGGCTGGGGTATTGTAGCCACTACAGAAACACTGCTAAAGGAGGGACAGGGCTGGCAGTTTAATGTGCCAGGGTACAAGTGCTTTAGGCAGGACAGAGGTGGAGGAAAGAGGGGAGGGAGAGTTGCATTTTTGATTAAGGGGAGTATCACAGCAATAGTCAGAGATGAAATAACTGAGGGATCATCCAGTGAGGCTTTGTGGGCGAGTCTAAGCAATAAGAAGGGGGTGGTGAATTTATTGGGGCTGTACTACAGACACTGGGGAGGCGATGGCCTAGTGGCATTATCACTGGACTGTCAATCCAGAGACCCAGATAATGTTCTGGGGACCCAGGTTCGACTCCTGCCATGGCATCACAGTCACCTTATGTCACAAAAGAAACAAAACCCATCACTACCTCGATGGGATGGATGATGCCCAGACCCCGATCTGCCAAGATCAAGACCCAAATTAGCTAATGTCAGAGAATCAGACAATTGATCCTCTCAGTCCAGCACCCACTCAATGAGGAAGCATAGTCAAAGCCCCAGATAACTGAATTAATAAAGATTTGGTGGAAGGGGTTGGGTGAGGAGATGGGGTAGTGGTAAACCAATTTGGGTCATTTTACTTAGATAACAAGGTGTACAGCTGATGAACACAGCAGGCCAAGCAGCATCAGAAGAGCAGGAAGGCTGACGTTTCGGGTCTGGACCCTTCTTCAGAAATCAGAA